AGTTCAATGCCTTCAACATAATACTTCAAGATTAATTAACAAACTAAACATTAAGCATAAAACGTCTAATAATTTTAAAATAACACAAATTGTCTCAAATCAAACTTAAAATTTAAATACGAATGTCTGGAGAACGCGCAAGAACAACTCTTTATATGCCTCCTTAAACAGCCTGTGCCCTCCAACTTTGGACGATGAGTGAAGACTCGACCACAGTTCTTGCACTTTAGTATTTTAAACTTCTTCATTTCTTCTACCACATTAAAGTGTTCCAAACAACATGCGCGCACTCTAGAATCACCAGGCATGATTTAACTTGAATTAAGAATTTGAGTTTGAGAAATGAGAGATGAGTGAAGACTTGAAGACTTGAATACTTCAATTTGATTTAGAGAAATGAGAGAGATTGATGATTTTGTGAGAACAATGAAAGAATGAGGGGGTATTTATAGTTGATGATAGGGAAAAGTGTAATTATAAAAACTTTGGGTTAAAACAAAGTTGGGGGGGGGGGGGAGAGGGTTAAATGGCTATTTTTAGAAATAGCAAACGGCTATAAACTTTAGTAACGGCTAAAAAAAATTTTGGAATAAAATATTTTTTTTAAAAAAAAAAGCCGTTGGGCCCGTTTGAGCCCGTTTAGGACCGGTTGAACCGGCCCACTTAGGAGCCCACCCCACCTGGTCCCGGGTTAAAACGGTTAGGCCCGTTTAGGCCCACTACCCATATGGGCTCGCGGGCCTGGGCCGGGCCCGGGCCTAACCGGCCCACATGCCAGGCTTACCTTAAAATATGGGTTCTTGGGCTGCTGGCAATTTGAGAAGGAACTTGAGAGCCATCGGTTGTTTAATAAATTTTTCATATAACCCCAAGATCGCTCGCAGGACAATATGAAAATGACGACTGACCGACTCCCCAGATCGTCGTAAGATAAAAGCTAACTCGCGATTCGTCGTATTATGTGCTAACAAGTAAATTGTTTTTGCAACTTGCTCTTCAACTGTACCTTGAAGTGTTGGTCTAAGATCACCCACTCTAACTATCATCTCACATGGATCGGTAAAAGCCAAAGGGGTCATTCTTATAATATTACGACAAAGTTCAGTTGAGAATAAATGACTCAATAATTCTTGTCTAACTTGTTCACTTTCCAGTCGTATATCATGTGTGATCGTACGTCGTTCAGTTTCAATTTCACGTACATAAGTCCAAAACCAAATAGCTACTAAGCAAGCAGCATATGTAGCTAAAGAGCTCACTTGTTCCAATATCTGTCTATTATTTTGATTATTCCGATCAGCCATCTATAATAAAGTTAAGTGAGATACATAAATTAATTAACTACGTAAAATAAATATGAACCGAAAATAGAACTCTTCTTCATAGAACACATCGTTAAGTATGAAGGAGAATTCAGATACATGCTAATAGGATTGTACAAAAAAAGGAATTCTAGTCAAATATTGCATCACATTACACTAAATTAATTCAGTAAACAGAAAAATATAAGCCCTAAAAAAGCAAATTTAAGTAAAACGAACAACATTATACATAATGAGTACTGAGCAAGAGAGGAGAATGTGAATTAACATGTCTATGTGTGTATAGAAAAGGAGAGTGAAAAAATGAGACCTTAGAGGAAATTTTAGGCCTCTTCTTTTTGGAAGATTTTTTCTTGGACGAAGACTTCCGGCTTCCATTGGTTTCTGATTTACTTCTTCTTCGTTATTGTTTTACAGAGATAACCAAAACTGGAATAGGCCAAAAAAAAAAAGCAAACAAGAGATTACGAGAAAAGGTTTAACGAGAACAAATACTACTGGTTTCATCTAGAGAGGTTACATACTGTGTACTTCATGGTTCATAGATTCGTACATGGATGATTGTTGCAACAGAAGCCACACATAATTCATGTTTTAAATTTCTTGTCGGTTTTGACTGTATCAAACTAATAACTTGATGCTATACTTTAAAACCATGATATTAACTTGATAAATTATATCACCAGAACATATAGTTTGCAAAGATAATAGATGAACTAACCAGGAAAAATACCCAAGAAAAGAGAGGAAAAAATAACCAGGGAAAATTCTGTTTGGAAAGAGACAAAGTACGTAGTTGGGAAACTCTGTTTTGGATGAACTTAATTGCACGGCAGAAGATGGAGAGAAACTACGTAATTGGGTGAATATAATATAAATAATATGGTAAAGGGTAAAATTGAAATATAGAATAATAAGTGTGGGAAAGAAAAATACGGAATAATCCCACCACACCGATTTGGTTGTTTCATAAAATGGGGCTTTTCATTATTCTGGAACAATGGATTTAACAATACGATACAATCAGTTTTATATTAACAATCAAAACAAACATTGTATCTGGGGTAACAATACAATACAATACAATGGGAAACAACCATCCAAACAATACATTAGCTAAACAAGATCAACAATCATCACGTTCAGGATTTAATATTTTTTTTAACTTTGTTTTTTTTTAACTAAACACAATATTTAATACGGAAAAGGGCCTAAACTATCCCTAATATTTACTAAATGATTTACAAATACCCTCTGTTCAAAAAACACACGACTTTAATTCTACTAATAAAATTACCCTCGCGATTAACAGCAAAACCGGTGGGCCTTCACTTTAATGACATGGCATTTTTTTACTGGGCCACGTGATTATCTCTGATTGGAACAAAAAATGAATATTATTTCGACCCACTTACCTTATCCGACCCAAGGTTTTGTTACCTGGGTCATAAAATTACATTAACCCACTTATCAGATCAAAATTGGATTTAGATATCTCACCACCCATCATGAAGTTTTATTTTTAGTTTTATGGTGTAAAATAAGGATTTTTCCCTTACTTTTTCTTCAGTTACCTGTAACTTTAGGGGCTTTATTCATGGGAGAAACAACTATGGTGGTGAGGCAGGCAAGGTGGTCGAGGAGGTGATGAGAACAGCGACTATGGTAGTGGGAGCAGTAGCTACGATGATGGAGTGGCGGAGACAACAACTACAATAGTGAAGATAGTGGTTGCGGTCAGTATGGTGGAGTAAACTCACACGGTGGTTGCGCAAGAGAGAAGATGAATGGGGGAAAGAGAGTTTGGATGAAATCAAGAAAAAGATCGGGGAAATGGGGAAGCCATTGGGAACAACATGAGAGTTCTTTAGGAGGAGGAATGACTAGACGAAGCATCCCATGTTGATTAATCAATTTCGCCACGCTTTCCTTGACCTTGGCATTGCCGTCGTCGCTTTCTACTGCATTGGTAAATTTGCTTACAACAAGATGTCTGACCCTTCTCACTCTACCTCTTCCGCTACTGTTTCTCACTCTAACAAAACTTTGGGTCGGGTCAGCTAAGTGGATCGAAATAAGATTCATGTTTTATTTCAGTTCGAGATTGCCACATGGCCCAATAAGAAATGCCACGTCATTAAATTGAAAGCCCACCGGTTCGCGGGGCTAATTTTATTAATAAATTAATGTCGTGTATTTTTTTGGATGAATAGATGGACGGAGAATATTTGTAAACCATTTAGCAAACAATTGGGGTAGTTTAAGTCCTTTTTCGTATTTAATATGATATTTAAGTGATTTCTAAATTTTGTTTTATTACAATGAGGCACGCATACAACGCGCGAATCCTAAGACGAACAAGAACAAATAAGTAAAAACTGACTGAATAAGTGAATCATTATATTATTTGGCATTAGTATATAATAGGATATTGTATAACTAGAGTAAAATGAACGTAAATGTCTCTATTCTTGCTACATATCCATTTATTTGCAAAATAAATTAACAGTTATAAATGATGGAAAATTGATCTGAAATCGTTATTTAGAATTATATATTTTCCTTCTACTCTATTCCTCACAACCACTAGCGCGTTCGTACTTCATTAGGCAAAAATTGCTTTACTTGCGTCTCAAGTCACCAAAAAATACCTTAATTTCAAAACTTTCTAGATCCTGGACAATTTAGGAAATTTGAGATTCTTTTTTCTATACTAACCCTTACCCTGCTTCTCAAGTTACCATTTTGTTTCCTTATTTCAAAATTTTCCGAAATCAGGACAAGCTTAGGAAAGTAGAGAATCCTATTTCTACACAAACTAGGCTTTCCTCAAAGTCTATAAAAGCGTTACACGGCTGTAACAACTGATCATCCTCTTCTCTTGCGTTCTTTTACAAATTGCTCTCTGTATAATCGCCCCAACAGAAATTGAAGATGGTGAATCTACAAACTGCTGTTGAATATAGAGTTATAACAGACGATTCTATCATTCCGATGACGAAGAAGTACAGCAACATCCCTTCTTCTTCTGAGACGTTTTTCATGATCCAAGTTCGGGTTCAACAATTCCTTAAGTATCTGCCAGAGGAAGGGGATTCTATAATGGAGGCACCAGACTGTCCACTTACTGTCAAATCTTTCTACTTGCCGAGTGCCGCCGTGATTCATGACGATGATAGCATTTACGAAATACTATGCTCTGTTGATGTGCCGCTCTATTCAATGGTGCCCATCATCCGAGGTGTCTCTTCCTTTGCTCGGAAACTGATGTCTGAAGCTGCCAATTTGGGCCGCCCTCTGATTCCTATTGTTCTGGGCATTACGGTTATTACTTGGGATCCCACAGACGCTGTGACGGCGCACCAGAGGAAATTTGAACAAGAGCCCACAGCTAAACGCCAAAGTAAAGATGAACGCCGATATAGGATTTGCCTTACACCAGTTCTAGGTCTAAGGTACAAGGAGGAGATAAAGCTGTGTAATTTTTGATTGCTTTTTTAGTTTCAGCCAATATTTTTGTAGACTGTAGTTAAGCCACATAATATGGTTTTTCATTACCTCATATAGCAAGCTGGATGCATTTCTTGTTATTTCAATTCACTTGCGGTTTCCAGTTCATCTTTCAATTTATTATATGTACAATTATTTGCTCTTATATCTTTTTCAAAAATAAACCACCAGGTTTTCGTTCTCTCGGAACATTATTAGTTTGATGATTGTGTTAAAAAAAAAGTCAAGTATGTATGACAACTCTGTCAAAGCTGCCTTAACCCAAAGGAATATAGATGAAAGTACAAACTTCCGAAGTAGCGTGATTGCTAATTTAATTTTTTTTTCTGAAACATCAAATTAATGTTCGTGTTTTAAATGGACAATTATTTAGTATTAGAGTAGGCAAAACTTTTCGACTAGAAAGGACAAGTTTGGTTGCTAAGAAACTATGTTACCAGTTGGATTTGATTGCCTCTTGAGAATTGCTTTAAAACTAGGTTCCTCTTGTCTTATTAAAAAGAAAATACTACTCAATCCAAGGCATTTTATGTGTTTTACCTACAAAAATAGCCCCCGCATGGATTATGAACTTTTTGGGAAATTTCTCCAAATTTAACACGAGAGTTTTTTTGGTTTATGAAGAGATACATTTATTTTAGTTTTAAGTTGCATCGGTGGCAGTGTGCGACTACTGAGGGTACTGGTTATGATACTCTATTTCCTATTGGTACATTCAGAAAGGTTTCGATTTTTGTATCTCACAAAGAAGCTAGTCCGATATTTTTTTATTTTATAATATGGATATATATTATATTATGTTATATATAAAAACTAGAAATTGTTGCTAGTACATATATTTCAAATATGAAAATCGCCACACACAAAATAGATATAAACTTTAAAGCAATGTCAAAACTTGTACTCCCTTCGTTTCAATTTATTTATTTTTTAGTTCGCGCAAAAAAAGAATGATCATTTTCTTATTTGGAAACAATTTACCTTTATGGAATTATTTATGGCCGCACAAAATGTATGTGTCTCATTTTACACTACAAGTTCAAAAGTTTTCTCTCTTTTCTTAAACTCTGTGCTCAGTCAAATAGGTTTACATAAATTGAAATAGAGGGAGAATATATATTAGAAAACACAAAAAGAGAAGAGAGGAAAAAAGGCATTTGCAGCTTGTTTAGGTAATTTTTAACAACAAGATTACCTATCCCCATTTCAAGGCTTAGAAAGCAAGATTCAATAGAAGTAGCACAATGGAAGAAATGCAAAGGGCAGAGTGTTTTACGCCCTTCCATAGTTCTCCAGACAAGTAAAGAGGAGGAGGAGGTTTACTGGTTACAATTTTTTCTTTGGAACAATGGTAACTACACCTGCGGCACTACTAGAAATCCGGTAAATACCGACCAAAAAAACTGACCAACTTTGGTCGGTTATGGCCAATTACCGATCAAAACGCAACCAAATACGCTTGAACGGTATTTTGATGGTCATTTTAATATTCCGACCAAAGTTGGTCGGAAATTACTGACCAACATTGGTCGGTAAATTAAATTCAAAAAAAAAAATATTGCAAAAAAAAAACCAACCAAAATTGGTTGGTTTTTTCCGACCAAAGTTGGCCGGTATTTTAATTATGTAATCAAAAGATTTACTGTATGTGAATCGAACCGGGGTGTGTACTGTGGCAGGATACTATTCTACCACTAGGCCATTGGTGCATTTTGTTTTAAGATTGTCTTTTTTTTTATTTTTATTTATACTCTTTAATTATATTTTCGCACGAAAATAACCGACCAAAGTTGGTCGGTTTTTTAAAATGACCGGCCGAATTTACCGATCAAAGTTGGTCGGTTTTTTTAATATTAATTTTTATTTATTTTAATTGCAAAAATCGACCAAAGTTGGTCGGTTTCTTGAAAAATAAATTTCGCGGGACTCAAAAATAGTTTCCCGTATTTTCGCAAAGAAAACCGACCAAAGTTGGTCGGTTTCGTAAAAAAAAAAATTAAAAATTAAAATATTTTGAAAAACTTTGGTCGGTTTTTGGCCGGTTTTTTTACCGGCCAAAGTTGGTCGGTTTTTCTTGGTCGATTTTTGCCCGAATTTCTAGTAGTGTGCTTGGACGTGCAACTTTGTAGATGCCGGTGCTTGTCAATATATAAGTGTCTTTTCTACTGTATTTCCCCAAGGAGGAGGAGGAACTTATTCCAAGAGGCTGAACATATGTCCTTTTTTTCTTTTTGCTTTTGAAGTTATCAAGATTTCCCTTAAACTAGTAACAGTTCAATGAACGCATTTTGCAGAAACTGTTAAACTTCCAAACCTGTCCAGCATCTCCACATAGAAAGTAGGAAGGCCTTTCTGAATCGAAGCTACAACGCCAAGGATTCCTAAGACCCAAGGCCCGAATTTCGGGTGCTAATTGCTTGTCATTGTTATATGGATTATCTGTTGGAGTTACTACACGCCAGACCCAAATTGAAGAAGGCCCAACTTAATATCTTGTCTATACTGTACATTTATTTATGTATGTAGTCTGGATTGGGCTTGAGCCCAAATAGTAATTTCCGGGTCATGTATATAAGTAGTAGAGGTTTCTAGAAACAGCAGAAGGATTCATTTTGTTTTATGATATAATAAGAAAAGAACTCTCTCTCTTCGTTCATTCTAATACAAACCCTAGATACAAATTGATTCAATTTAGTCTTGTTCTACACATTAACATGGTATCAGAGCGGTGATTCTGTTACATTTTATCCTGCTGGTTCGTCCGATCTTAGGCTTGTTCATTTTTGTTCAAGTTTCATGGGCTCACCGGAATTTCATCGATTTTTTGGTTGCTTCATCAATTTCTCATTTTTCTACCGAGGACTCTTTGGTTTGCTGTTGGTTTTACTCCGAATTAACCTTCTACAATGTTAATTGTGGCCTGTTTGAAGTCTTTTCCGCTGAATGCTGGTTTTGAGTTCTTTTTCGTGAGCTAGAGTTTGTGACATTGATACTGGTTTCTTCAGACTTTCTATGCTTGCGATTTTGAAGGCTGTAGTTCTTCCGGTCGCGAAGAACCTTTGGTATTGTGTTCTCCGCTCCTCTTGTTCTTACACGCCTCATTTTTGTGGTGTTTTTTTTCTTTTTCTGTAATTACTTGCGCTTCTACATCATGGTTGTTGCGGATACCTCTATTAGCTCTAGCAGCTCGAGTACTTATGTCATAGATTCCTCAAATCCTATTCATCTTTCATCTTCTGATGTCCCTAGGATCTCTCTAGTTTCTAACCCTTTTTCCGGGACTGGTTTTGGGGGTTGGCGAAGGAGTATGATCGTCTCCTTATCAGCCAAAAATAAAATTGCCTTTATAGATGTGTCATGCCCTAGACCCGCTAACGACTCTCCTCAAATTAAACTGTGGGATAGGTGTAATAACTTGGTCATTTCGTGGATAACTAGTTCCTTATCCCCTGACATTGCTGAGTTACTCAGAAACTGCTTAGAGTATTTGGAACCAGCTTAATAAGAGGTATAGATTGGTTGATGGGACCAAAGTGTTTGAATTAAAAAAGGAATTGGCTTTCACTAATCAGGGTTCATTAGATATTGCTTCATATTTCAATAAGCTGAAGAAACTCTGGGACGAGTTGGCCTTCTTGTGCTCTAAGTATGCCAATAGATGTGTGGGGGTAGGTCTGAGGAGGAAGAGGAGAACAAACTCTATCAGTTTCTCATAGGGTTGAACGACACTTATGTTAGTGTCCGGAGTAATTTGCTCATGATGCAGCCTTTACCTTCTCTAGATAATGCTTACAATATTCTTCTCCAAGATGAAAGACAAAGACAAGTCAGTCCTAGTCCTCAGTTCAACAATGAATCAGCCTCTTTCAATGTCAACTTTCACAATTCTGTTAACAAACATCCAAAAGTCAATCAACTTCCTATTCCTCCAAAACAGTATATTCAAAGAGTCAATTTTGATCAGACAAAGTCCAATTTGGTGTGCTCATATTGCAAAAAACCTGGGCATCTCATTGAGAAGTGCTATAAACTTCATGGTTTTCCACCCAATTTTAAGTTCACCAAAGGGAAGAGAATTGCTAGGAATGTTGAAGTTCAAGACCTTGGTGTAAATTCTGATTCAATTAATCTTCCATCTGGGTGTCCTCCTAACTCTGGTTCACTGGTCCATGGGCTAACCAAAGAACAATACACTCAATTGCTATACTTGCTGCAGTAGAATCATATTTCCGATTCACCTACTCAACACGGTCTTATGGGTTCTGCCAATTTTGCTGGTATGGTTTCTTTCCCTGCTTGTGTAGGTGTTAGTTATGGTGCATGCATGCTAACTAGAGTTAATGACTGCATTTGGATTATATATTCTGGAGCCACAGATCACATGACTTCTAATAAAGACCTTCTTTTTGACATTAAGCCTCTTGTTATTCCTTATATAGTTACCCTTCCTAATGGCTACAAGGTCAAAGTCACTTGTACTGGCTCCATGCACTTCTTATCTTTCACCTTGCATCATGTTCTCTATGTTCCTAGCTTTCACTACAATCTTATTTTTGTCTATAAACTTATCTCATATTTGGATTGTAATCTTCTATTCAACATGTTTTCTTGTCTTCTCCAGGGCCCTTCACTGAAGAGGCCAGTGGAAGTTGGTAAAGTGGAGCATGGTCTTTACAAGCTTCTGGTAGATGGTTCTTCTACTGTCTCTACTGCACTTACTTCCACTAGTGATTCTGATTCCTTCTGCAGTTGTAAATACCATTCTCCATTATTTACTACATCCCATTGTACATACCAATCTGATGTCAATAAAATAGAGATTTTATGGCACAATCGATTAGGGCATATGCCTTTTAGTAGAATGAAAGACATTTCTGTTCTTCCTTGCAAATTTTCTATGAAACAACCTTTTGTTTGTTCTAATTGTCCTTTAGCTAGACAGCATAGGCTTCCTTTTCTAGATAGTTGCATTAGAACATCTTCTCCCTTCCAACTTGTCCATGTGGACACCTGGGGACCCTATAGCAGCCCTACTTATAATGGTTGCAAATACTTCCTCACCATTTTTGATGATTTTACAAGAGCTACTTGGACTCATATTATGGGATCTAAGAGCAATGCTTTCCCTTTATTGAAAGCTTTTATAGCCATGGTACAAACACAATTTCATATAACAATTGAGTCAGTAAGGAGTGATAATGCTTTTGAATTAGGGTCTAGTAATTCTGCCAGTCAATTTTTTCTTGATAATGGTAGTATTCATCAGACTTCATGCCCTCACACACCACAACAAAATGGTGTGGTGGAGAGGAAGCATAGGTATTTGCTGGAAACTTCTTGAGCTTTATTGTTTCAGTCCAAGTTACCAGTCAGATTTTGGTGTGATTGTGCTTTGACTGCCACATATCTTATAAACAGGTTTCCCTCCAAATTGCTCAATGATAAATCCCCTTTTGAGTTGTTGTATGGTCAACCTCCTTCCTTCTCACATCTCAGAACCTTTGGCTGTCTTTGTTATTCCACAGTCTCCAAGTGCCATAGGGACAAACTTCAGCCAAGAGCTGATCCTTGTGTTTTCCTTGGCTATCCACTAGCAAAGAAAGTTAAAAGGTTTACAATTTGGTTACCAAATTAACTATGATTTCCAGAGATATTGTGTTCCATGAAGATATATTTCCTTTTGCTGTTTCTACTTCTGCTTCATCTTCCCCTTCTCTCTCTGTTCCCCAGTCCTCCTCCTTTTTCCCTGAACCTAATTCTGTCCCTTCCTTTCCTCCCTCTTCTTCTTCTTCTATGCCTATTTCTCTTTCTTCTCCTGGTCCTATTACCTCTTCACCTATTCCTTCTGATTCAGCCTGTCCCCCTGCTCCAAGTAGATCTTCAAGGCCTCATAATCCTCCCAATCACCTTCAATAGTACATCTGTACACTTCCCCAGTCCCTCTGTGGCTCTAGTGCTTCTTCTTCGAGCTCTCATTCTTTAGATAGCACTGCTGTTACTGAACCCTACTCCTACCAACAGGCTGCCTCCATTCCAGCTTGGCAAGAGGCTATGCAGAAGGAATTTGAGGCACTTGAGGCCAACAATACTTGGTTAATTGTTGAGTTGCCTGAAGGCAAAAGCCTATTGGCTGCAAGTGGGTTTACAAGATTAAATATAAGGCTGATGGTTCAGTGAAAAGATATAAAGCTAGGTTAGTTGTTAGAGGGGATACACAACTTGAAGGATTTTAATGAAACATTTTCTCCTGTGATTAAATTCTCTACTGTTAAATGTTTAGTTGTTGTAGCTGTGAAACATCAATGGTCTCTTTTTCAACTGGATATAAATAATGCTTTTTGCATGGTGATTTGGATGATGAGGTTTATATGAAACTTCCTCTTGGTTTATGTGCTTCCTCCCTTTCTGGTACTTCCTCTCCTTTAGTCTGCAGGCTTCAGAAATCACTTTATGGCTTGAGACAGGCTTCTAGGCAATGGTATGTCAAGCCGTCTCATGCCCTTTGCTCCAGAGGGTATTCTCACTCTTTGAATGATTACTCCCTTTTCTTCAAGAAATCTGCTTCTTCCATTGTGTTGATTGTTGTGTACGTTGATGATATAATTCTTACTGGTAATGATCTGGATGAGATTTCTGCTCTCAAGTGCTTCTTGCATGATCAGTTCAAAATCAAATATTTGGGTGTTCTGAATTATTTTTTGGGTATTGAGGTGGCCTATTCAAGTTCTGGGTTGTTGCTTCATCAGAAGAAGTTTATTAGGGATCTTTTGCAGGTTCATAACTGTACTGATGTGTTACCTCTCCCCTTCACTTGAATGTCAAACTAACAGCTGATTCTGGGGATCTTCTTCCATCACCTGAGTCTTATCGCAACTTAGTGGGCAAGTTAAACTTTTTAACACATACTCGACCTGATTTGTGTTTTGCCGTGCATCATTTAAGTCAATTTCTCCAGGCTCTTTGTGCTCCTCATATGCAGGCTGCTCTTCACCTTCTCCGCTACCTCAAAGGCACTTCTGATGTTGGTGTTTTCTTCAGCAACTCACCTTCTACTTCCGTGGTTGTTTATTGTGATAGTGATTGGGCCGCTTGCCCTGACACTAGGCGGTCTGTCACTGGCTTTTGCATCTTTCTGGGTGATTGCCTCATTGGGTGGAAAGCTAAAAAGCAACATGTTGTTTCTCTCTCTTCAACTGAGGCTGAGTATCGGGCTATCTCCAAAGTGGTTGTTGAACTTACCTGGTTAGTGAGGCTCTTATCAGATCTTGGTTTCCCTGTTACTGCTGCTATTCCTGTTTACTGCGACAACCAAGCTGCCATCCACATCGCCAGGAACCCTGTTTTCCACGAGCGCACCAAGCACATTGAGGTGGATTGTCACTTCATCCGAACCAAGCTTGTTGATGGTCTTATCTCTCTCCACCATGTCTCGACCTCTGAACAGCTGGCTGACATCTTCACCAAGCCGCTTACTAGACTTGCTCATCATGCACTTCTTCCCAAGTTGGGGGTTGTTCCACCCTCCAACTTGAGGGGGGTGTTGGAGTTACTACACGCCAGGCCCAAATTGAAGAAGGCCCAACTTAATATTCTGTCTATATTGTACATTTATTTATGTATGTAGTATGGATTGGGCTCGAGCCCAAATAGTAATTTCCGAGTCATGTATAAGTAGTAGAGGTTTCTAGAAACAGTAGAAGGATTCATTTTGTTTTCTGATACAATAAGAAAAGAGCTCTCTCTCTTCGTTCATTCCAATACAAACCCTAGATACAAATTGATTCAATTTAGTCTTGTACTCTTGTTCTACACATTAACACTATCTCTTGGTATGGAGTAGTTTCCCCAAAGTCGTTGCTCAAGCACCTCATTTCCTGTCAGCCCTAAAAAGAGAAAACCACAGAGTTCAGCTGTTATGATTCAAGAAACATGCAGTCTCATCAACCAATTTGTTTCTATTTGCCTACACAATGAAAGGATAAATTATCTTCCAAGATGCTATATTAACAGCATGTAGCGATTGCAGAAAACGTTTATGAATCCTTGGGAGAAAAATTTGAGAACTTCCTCGGGTTAAGTCTACAGATATAGATGGGCGGATTTATTCATGCAGGATAACTTTTATCTCAAACCTTTTCATGATTTTAAGATATATAAACGAGGATAGTAGGATGGGCCTCTTTGTCGAATGTGCTTTACAACAGAAATAGGCAAGTCCACATAGACAGTCAACATTTATGAACAACATCTTCACCTGTTATTTGATCCACATCTATCATTAAGATCTTTCCTGCAATGATCTCTTGTTTTGTGCAAAGTCATAAGTATCACCCTGATGTGCACCACTTCCAATCATAAGATTCAATAAAAGATCTGCAGGGCCAAAGAGATGAATCTGGCCTCCTGGAACTCCCCTGTCTAGAAGTCCCATTGTAAGAATCCTCCTCACTTCTTATGGACTAGCAATTTCTGCCTGTCAAGAAGATGATCAAAGTAGGACATTAGGGGAACTTCAGTCAAGAAAATCCATTATAGCGATAAGGCAAGCATGGAGGTATACCGAGGAACGTGTTGATGCAGTACTATTTGCTGTGAACTCTGCTACAACGATTTGATACTGGCATGGTTCGGTGCCACTTTCAACTGGAAGCTTTGCTGGATCACATTTTATTTCCGAGTTACAGGAGCACTGCCTGAACATACTGACTGTTGCAACTTATCACAATTGTATGAAACAAAGAAACGACCATTATTCACAAAATTAGGATGGAAAGCCATTCCAGTAAACCCAAATTGGTCATCAAAATGCACTTGATCAGTTATATCTAGAAAGGGCTTGGATTCATCAAGCTCCAACATTCCATTAGATCCATCCTCGGGAACAGTGGCAATCCATACCTTACCTTGTCGGTTGCACAAAAAGATATGGTTAGAGCCATCAGGGTGTGGAACCATGCTAATGTAAGATCCATTGCCAATTTTGTCAAGGCAGACCCTAATTGGGGCCTGAGGAGCTTCAGCAATACCAAGCGAACCCGTTTTTCTATGGAAACAGACACCCAAGCCATTCAAGGACCTACTATACGTTTCACAGAAGGCGTCCTTTGATGGCCAATGATGCATCAACTTGGATGGTGAAGACTGAGATGGCAAGCTATGATTCAGATGTTCAAATACAGAAAATGGGGAGTGCATAATGGACGCATTCGCACATTTCTCCCAGACCTTAGAGCAGAAGTCAGTTGATCTTTTATCCTTGGGCTGATGCACTTTCCCAATGCAAGTGAAGTTGCACAAATTAAAGCTGGTAAATCCCTACGAGCTGAGCCAAGTTGATCACAATACTGATCACATATCTGCTTCATAGACACCATAGCCAAAACCCCATTAAAAGAACGATCTAAATACACCATGTATATATGGAGGAAAATCTCAGACAACTTGGTCCTTGATTGAGCGCTATTTATTAAATCCTAATCAATTGCAAGGAAGGGAATAACAAATTCAAAAAAATTCCAAGTGGAAATGTAGACGTGGTAATTGTATGTCAATAATGTTAAGGTAACAATTTCTGATCTCTTATGTTAAAGAATTAAGGACTTACTGCACTATGATTGGCTTCATGAGACTAGCACACTCAGGATCAGACATATTCATAGCTGCAGATTGCTCCTCCAGGCTCAAGTCTTGTGCAGAGTCGCAGCATGCATTCTCATTATTAGTACAAATATCCAGTTTCAGTTCTATTTACAAAAAGATGGAAGGAAAAAGAGTAAGATGGACAACTGCAAAAGATGCAAAACACTAAAGACTTGTGATGGAGCCTCAAGCGTAGGGTAACAAATAACCATAAAGTAACGAGAAAGTCAGGAGGTAAACAATTCCAGCAGCAACCATGGCCAGTGATGACACAAGAAACACAACTCTTATAATTTTTTGTTTATGTTTACCTCGAAAATACGAGTAACAACTAAACTTGTTTGTGGTTTGAAGATACGTATTTAGTTCAATACTAACTAATAACTAAGAAATCAGACGTATAAATTAGAGAAGAAAGTTGAATCAAACCAGTGCTTAAGCAAGTCTTGACCTCAAGCTAGATGGCCTCGAGGTAGGTCAGCCAGAACAGTAAAGTAAAGACAATAAAGTTAAGAGACAATTCTGATGAGCAATGAGCAAGAAAGTAAGAGAGTATATTCTTTTGCCAATGATTGATAATGAGTTACAAATGATTGGGGTCCCCTTTATATAATAGGAGAACCCTACAATAAGGTACATTTCTATTTACAGTAAGGAATCTTGTTGGGACAGCTGTCTAACTGCCTAGTACGGATTCGTACTAACCCGTACAAATCTATTCCGGAATTTACGCCATGATCTTGGAGATGTGGCGGGAATCTTGCTCTTTCTGTTACAAACCCATAACGGCATCATCTCGGGGTTGGTCATACTCGGCTTCGGTGCTCGTCGCGTACTTCGATCTTCAAGCCTTACATTGTGCCCTCGGGCTCGAACCGGCCCATATCGAGTTTGTTCCTCGATGCGAGCCCTCGAGCCTACAAAATTGAGGACACATGATTTTACCGTATACAGATAGTCCCCGCATTTCTTAGAAAAAAATGATAAGAAACGATTTGAGCCTCGATTTTCCGAAGTGCTCAATGATGACGTCATTCCCGTGACGTAGGGGCTCGAAGTGACCGAAACGTCCCCTCAGTTCGCTTTCCCAAAACATTAAATGCTTCTCCAGTGGTGGTCGGCCACTAGCGTCGTTGAACCGTCGCCGCTTGCCTATAAATACAAGGTTTAATTTTGGAGAAAACTTTACTTCAATCTTCAAACCACCTCAAAACTTCTTTTATATCTCTCTCTCTTTTCATCTCTTGTCTCTCATTACTCGCTACTCCCGTTCTCTTTAGTGTCAGAAAATAGCAAACTTCACCTATCTCCACTTCTTCTAACTCGAATCAATGGCGAAAACTTCAAAGACAGTTCCTCAAAAGGAGAAAGCTTCCTCCTCCTCTTCCCGGCCGGCCAAACTTGTGGCATCGGCCCTTCACGAGATTATTCTCGGCCCCTGCGTTATAAAGAAAGACTTAAACGTTTAAAATCCCTTTGCAATCCCTAGCCGATGCAAGCATGTATCCCGATATATCAGTTCGATAACGAAGAAAGACTGTGGCTGGGGGGACGAGGTCGTGCTACAGATCCCCGACCCCGAGGAGAGCATTACCACTCATGTGGAGGGGTTCTTAAGTGTTTACACTTACCCCTTCACACAGGGTCCCCTTGATCTAGTTGTGATCGACTTCTGCAAAAGATATCAAGTCACCCTCGGCTAGATCCACCCCTCTTTCTGGCGTATAGTGATTATGCTCCGCTACTTCTCTAGAAAGGCGGAGGGGTTAGAGTTCACCCTCAATCACCTCATCCGATTGTATCGACCTCAGCTTTTCCGAGGGTTGATCAAGCTCCAACTTCGATCGAGCAAAGCCTTCTTTGCTAGCAATGACGAGGATAAGGACCGAGGTTGGATGAGCCGGTTCATCCGAGTGAGGACCTCGGACGTCATCCCCGAGGGAAAAATGCCATTCCCAGAGAAATGGAACCCCAATCGTAAGTGAAGTTCTTTTCCCAGTATCTTCTTATATTTTGTTTTCATATTTTGTAATGCCTTTACCTTTTTTGCAGCTATTGCTTGGATGCCCATGCAATCCTCGACCTCAAAGACTGGGTCCGAAAATTAGCTGCGACCTCCTCGTATGATGAGCGCAAATGGCATGACTTGTCGAGGGGCAAATGGGAGGCCAAACACCACGGTTAGTTCTTCTCCCAGGTCTTTGATGCTTTCCCTTTTATTGGAGGTGTCATCTTAATTATTCCTATTTTTCATTTATGCAGGCATTGGAGATGTCTCCGAAATGAGGCCAGCCCTGCCCGGGGAAGAAACCGAGTTCCCGATTCCAAAATCGGGGAAAGATAACAAGAGGAAAAGGGCTTCGAAACCCAAAGACCCCCAAGATAAGAGGGTCCATGCTCGAAGGAAAAGGAGGAAACTCATTCAAGTGGACATAGATTCAATCCATCAACTGAATGACGAAGAAGAGGACGAGGGCAAAGAGTCGGCATTATTGACCCGAACATGGAAGCCAATTGAGGACGTCAAGCCCTCGGAACCAGAAACCCTACCTTGTGAAGAGGAGGCCCCGAAGAAAAATGCGGGAAAAGCCCCCGCATCACCTGAGATCGAGATCATTCACCCGCCTTCAACAAGTACACCAAATGGGGCAAGTACCGAGGCCCCCGAGGCTGAATAGAGCGCCCCGAGCGACTTGCTCGGGGCCATGACAATAGGTCACTCCCCTCCTCTACCATCTTATTATGAGGAGGCCATAAAGGAAGCTCAAGCTCAGCGAACGCTCGATCCGAGCAGATCCTCCGGTGAAGAAGATCCTTCCTGGGATTGTTTTACCGGGGTCGATGACGCTGCCGACCTCAGCGATGCATCTACCCTCTTTGAAGAGGCACATCGTCTTTCCTCTCAGGTAAGCATTAGCTTTTATCGTTGCAATTTTTTTCTCCTTTCATACTAACTGATATCTCCTTTTCTGTGTAGGCCATTACCAAGTTTAGGGCCGAGCTGAGCCAATGTGAGGCCGAGCTCAAGACGTCCTCGGATGAAGGGAAGGCCCTGAGGCTCTTTTGTAGCCAAAAGGAGGAGGAGCTCAAGGACCTTCGAGCAGATTTGGGCAAAGCTCGTCAAAATAAGGCCAAGCTAGACAAGCAGGTAACCATCATTTTGCAAGAGTATGGTCTAGTTGACCCAACTGTGGAGGCTAACACTTCAGTGTCTTAGCTGCAACAAAAATTAGATATGATCGGGCAGCTTCGGGGGGAGATCAAGTTAAGGCCGACTGCAACGAGTGGAAGGAAAATATGGATCGGCTTGCTGCTGAGAAAGAGGCTGCTCCAGCCAACCTGGCCTCGGCTGAGACCCAGCTTCGGGGAGTCAAAGTAAAATATCTGACCCAGGCCAAGAAGATTGATGAGCTCGAGGCCAAACTTGCCGCAATCGGGGCTGAGGTTGCTGAAGCCAGGGCCGAGGTCGAGTGGACGAAGGTCACGATTGACAAGACCGTTGCTGTGTACCTAAAGGATGTCGAAGCTGCTAAAATGGAACTAAGGGAAGCCTCTAACTAACGGATCAGTGATTTGGCCAAGTGTCAATCCTAGAGGGAGACCCTCGAAGAAATCTGTGCTCGATGTTTCGACCTCACCGAGGAGATAGCCCAAGAAAAAGTGCTCGAAGCCGATGCCAAGTTCCTCGTCTCCTCCTCCGACGATGATGATGATGAAGGCAGCCAGAGCGGGTCCGATAATGAAGTTGGGCCCGAAGAGGAAGCTGCTCCCGAGGGAGAGACCAGCCTTGGGCATAGATGGATTTTCCTTTCTTCTTGTATTGTTCTTTTTTCTAAGACCTTTCATCGGTCCCTTGTATATATATTTTTCCAAATATATAAAAGAAGAAATTCCTTGAATGTTTTCACGATATTTCCTTCCTTGTAAAATTCTTGCAATGACTTCATCCTTCTTAACTGTGTGTTTGAGATTTTATCTCAGATATTTTCTTCGAAATTGCCATGGCCGAGTTCGAATAAGTTCGAACTTTTGGGCATAGACCTTTACAGGCTCGTGTCGGATAATGGTGAGTCCCCGAGCCATGATCAAGCCATTATTTGTTTAGGCTTGGGATAATCGAACCCTTAGGTTTAAATTGAGTGAGAGCGAGGTCTCGAACCCTATTTGTATCGACCTTTTAGGCTTACTAAATCGGCCCTTAGGCTCTTTTATATTGGCCCTTAGGCTCTTTTAGGCCGGCCCTTAGGCTCTTTAAGTTGGGCCAATTCGGCCTCTAAAACGGCTATAATTTTTTTCTCTTTTTGGCTAAAAGACTTAGTGAATTTTTTTTTATGCCTTAGCATGTATTTTGTACCCCTTGGGTTTTTCGAGGGTTTAATCGATCATTACCTAATTTTTTCTTAACCCATTTGTGTTAAGATAATTTAATACTTGAGGCTTTTTAGAAGGCTGATATTATCGAAGCCTTTGAATTATTCGAGGACCGATTTTATCGAAGCCCTTTTTTATTTGCTTTGCCGAGGGTATCCTTATTTAACCGGTTTCTTAAAGTATTTGAATTCCTTTAACTTACGGCGGAAGTCGGACGTCTCCGAGCCGTATTATTTCGGCCGTAGCCTTTATATGACCGTGGTCTTAAATATGGCCGTAGCCTTCGGGTGTGTCTCTTGGATTTGTTTCCCGATAACCTTTTGAACTTGTCCGAAAGGTTAGTCCCCGAGTATAATGGCCTTGTCCTTTGCGTCGAGGGATGCCTCTTTGAGGTCTTATAAATTCGAGTTTAGATATTCGAATGTGTTGACTATCGATGACACCCTCAGTATTCGAGGTGTATTTACGTTTTGGCCCTTGAGCTGTTTCTCACGGAATCACAAGTATGGAGTTCGTATAGTAACAAATTTCTTTGAGACGCAAAGTGTTTTGATATAGAAAGAATGCTTCTTTGAATAATTGATACATGCGTACATGTTTTGCCATCGGGGCTCGACTATTCTATATGGACACGGTTCATCTGACCATGTGGCCCATTACAAAGTTTTCCTATCGAGGCCCTCTTTGGTTGATGTAGCTTTTACCCGAAGAGTCGGGATTGATACCACAGAGAGCTAAGAAAGGTTTGGAATTGGATTCCTATCTAATCTAGAAATGTGCTAAGTTTTCAAGAGCCTAAGTAAAAAAGGCACAAATTAGTGTTTGCAACCACCAATTCAACATTAAAAGCACAAATCAGGCCAAATATCATTCACCCATAAATTAAA